TTTTATACATAAATAAGAGGCAGTTTATTATTTGTTTTCTTGTGTTATTTGTAGTGTTGTATTTAAACCGAACCGAAACCGTGGCCCAAATACCGAGGTACATACCGTACTGTGGGATACCTGTACCGTTGCACCCCTAGTATATACGTCACTTTGGGTTATTTTTCAGGTTGGGTCAGATTAGTTGTCCACATTCCTGGTTGCTTTGTATATATACTGTACACTTGCCATTCCTCGTTTCCCTCGCTGTATAGTCATTGCTCTATTGTAAATATCATTTGCTCTTAGTTACCTGCTTGCGGTTTTCTCTTGTGCATCACATAGGTGAATGTTTGTTAGATACACTAGGTTAGAGTTAGGCACCACCCTTTTTATTTTGTCGTTAGATCAGTGTAGGATTTTGGTTTAGACACCAGATAGAACAGATTTTAAAGGGACTTTTTGTTTTGTTCTGTTCTTGTCTTTGATGTCACCCATAAAAAATACTTCAACATATTCCTGTTTTTGTGTCATCTGTGTCCTTTCCTGTGTATACCCCAATCTTTGTATATTCAGAGTTGTAACAAGTGGGGGCTCATTCGGGATCTTTTTGGGACCCCCTTCCCATGGGAAATAAAGAAGCAGACAGGCAGAGAGAGAGAGAGAGAGAGAGAACGACGGCACCCATTCAGGGTAGCTGCTGAACAGGAGGGGTTAGCCTGCAGGGTTTCCCTCCTACAGCCAATCAGCAGCCCTTCTGCTTTACCCTATATAAATATGACATGTCTGGCATTTATCTGCTGACACAATGCTGCTTGGCCTGCTGGGAAACATGTCCTTGTGTGCCTGGGAACAGGCCGGTGTCAGAAACCCTTATCAGTGAAGATGTTCCTGTCACTAACCATCACTCAGATTCATCGTCCAGGTGCTGCAAGCTGCCTGTTAACATACCCATGTCACGAATGCTGGGCTGAAACATGCATGTTACAGACGCTGTACAGTCGTCACTGACGCGGGTGACAGTGATCGCCAGCGTGGCGGCGAGTCCCCCCTCACCCGGTCCCCACGCCGCCCTTCAGCGCTGGCTCGCTGCCGTTCACCATGGCTTCCGGGCTGCGCTCGGCCGCTCGCTCCCCCTCGTCTCCGGCCAGGCCCAGCAACGCCTTCACCCGCTGGGACTTCACATCCAGGATCGTGTCTGTGTATCCCACCTCCTGTAGGTACCTGCAGGGGGCGCCGAGAAGCCATGAGTATTAGTCACCTGCGGGGTGGGAGGGGGGCAACCTTGAAGTTTCCGGGGACCCTCAGGTGACAGTGGTATCACAGACCATGCTGCAGAACACAGATGCTTTCTGGGAGCCAGTGTAACCCGGGGGGGGGGGGGGGGGGGGGGGG